AGTGTGCTATAGAGTATGCTTCATGATATGAATGCTATGCTGGCAGCCTAATCCTATACATCATAACAAGTTCTGTGTTAAGTTGTGCTCTCAAATATAAGTCAGCTATCATGATGATTTTGCAGCTATAGAGGTGTGTAATGCTTGAGTTGAGAACTATGAGCTATATAGAAAGGATTGTCATCTTATTTGAGTCTCCCCTAGATGAGTAGTGCTAAAATAGCGCAAAATAGTACTACAGTAGTGCAAAATAGCGAAAATTAGAGGATCACATTTGCAGTAGTGCTATTGTAGTATCATGTTAGCACTACACGGCACTATAGAAAAAGTGATAGTGAAGAGTAGTTATAACTAGTACCAAGTATACTAATTAGTGCTTAGTTGCACTACTGAAGAAGTGCATCTGAATAGTAGCTCTAATATAGATGTTATCTCTGCTAACACTTGCTAATATAGATGAGATTATCTGAATAGCGATAATTAGTGTCAATTCGCAAAGGCTGTTTTTCCAGATGTATACCATATTCATCCCAGAGAACCCTTAGGCTTAAGGCATCCAGCAGTGGATCAGTCACAGAGTGACTACGCTGGATACCCTCTCCATCAAGGTCATCTCTATGTGCATCACATCTAACCCATAGTCAACAACAAGACAACTCACAAGCCATAGATGACTCACCTAGGACACCATCCTTGAACTATGCAAGCTAAGAGAGCTTGCTCAGGATAGTCTGCAATATAGGGCCCCAAACCATAGACTGTGCGACGGTAATGACCATCAGCATAGCGCACCACCTCTAGAGTAGTCATCCCTGGCTTGAGGGACCCTAGAATGGTGTACAGCGAGGTGTGAAATAGCTGACGACGAAATTTGCGAAATTTCGGATCATCAGCATGTTCGCGATCAGCTAGATGCACTCAGTTGTTAGTACCTCATACGGGGTAGAAGACAAGGTACACACTCTTGGGGATTGCCAAAAAAGCCACCAAGGACACTGCGTTGCGCTGTGCACGCCGTACTGTGTTGTGCACAAGACCATTAGACAAGTACAAGGGATAGTACTCATTCTGGCCAGTGGCAACAGACACAGTGGTCTTATCACTACCAAGCACAATGGGGCAGAAAGTAGCACCATGTGTGGTAGGATCCTGGGCAATGGTATCCTGTTCAAAACATTAGTACATGCAAGCCTTGTATGGAAAGCAATTGACCGCCTGCTGCCATGCCCAATCACCACTCATAAAGTCCTTATAGACTCGCTCGGCCCCATGGTACATGCACTTCGGAGAATGGTCCATCTCGCCAGCAAAGTCCGCATTCCCAAGCTGGGCATGCAAGACATCATGAGGGTCCCGGTACCACACCGTATAGACAGCCTCCATCTAAGCAGAAACATCATGCTCAGGGCGAGGACCAGTGTAGGTGACCTCAAACGCCTGCCAGGGGATGTCCGCAAGGGAGATAGAATCAATAGACTCATGGAGCTCCTTATGATCCGCAAAGGGAGCACGCTCGCTAAAGGTACCCCAGAGCTGCATGAGCTCATCGGTGTTGCCCCCCGAAACTTTGGCCTTACAGAATAGGAAGTCCACAATCTCGAAATGGACACGAGACTCGTAGGGTGTATAGTCATTGGCCGCACGAGCCGGATGTGCTGGAGGAGGGCTCCCGTCGGACAAAGGGTTGCCAAGAGCATCGCATATGTCCCCTACATCACAGGCATTTAGATCAGAATCAGGACAGGATATTACAGCAACTTACCTGTGAGGAGCGGGTGGGTTTCGGTCATCAACCCATTTGGTGGTAAGGCCTCCTCCTCGTCAACAAACATGTCCGCCAGAGGTGATGGCGACCCGGGACTAGGGGGTAGCGGCCCAGGAGATGGCGACAGCGACCGCGATGGGATTGGAGGTGGAACAATGTGCGGGGCATGGACATGCACAGCATTGATATGTTGCGTGCGGCCACTAATGGACTTGAAGAGCGACGTACAGTTCGGCCATGTGCACGGAATATTACGCGCCCGAAATCTACGGAACATGACTGCCTAGTAGGAGGTGACGAGAGCACAGCACTGAAGGACAACATCAGTCACACGAAAGACTGAGCATGAAGGTAC